TTGCCCCTCCAGGGGCGGGGCCTGCCCCTCCGCAGGGGCGGCGCACCAGGGACCTGCCTTGACTTCCAGAGCAGCTCAGCCCGGGCCTGGTCAGGCACAGAGCGAGTGCCACACACGGAGCCTCGGGGCTTGGGGCCCTGAAATCCTGTTTATTTTATCTTTTTATGTTTTACCACATGGCTCTGGCATCACTGCATTTCTAGCAGCTGGACAAGGATAAGAGATGGACGTTCAAGAGAGAGAGGGACAAGGAGACAACAGTCCCATGACAAACATTAAATTTTGATAGGTTTTAAAACCTGTCTAGACAAAAAAAAGTAGTCCGTTGAGAGAGAAATGTGCACGGCAGCCCCCAGACCAGGCTGGTGTTCCCCTGGCAGGGCGGCTGCCACTCTCAGGGACCTTCAGTGTCGGTGTTGTCACTGCCGGTGGTGTTCTCCCAGTCGGCCTCGTGGTGTCGGTCCGTCAGTACCCTTCGCATGGCTCTTTTTCTGAAAACAAGACCAGACGTTTCATTTTTAGAAGGTGTTTTCTGCAAACAAGTGGCACTTGAATGCTTTAGGAGGTTCAGTGTGTTATCAATTCACTCAGTGTTTAATTGAACACAGCGGTTTGCTCACACACACAACATAAAGCTGTGACTGATAGCAAACTCAGGGTAGAGAGAATTCATCTAAATTTATAAGGACATTCTTAATTTCTTGAAGTGTGGTATATTGTTGATGCTCAGTTGAAGAAGCCAAGAAATCCTACCCAAAGTCCTTTCTTTAATAAAAATAGTATTGTCAACAGTCAGAGAGGCAGTGATCAGGGAAGACACCAGGCATTTGGAGAAGAGGCCTTCAAATGAGCATTTGAAGAGGACAGAGGGCAGAAATCTGCTCCCATTCCCAGTCTCAGGAGCTTGGTCTTGAATATCAGCAGTATGTCAGTCAGACGGACAGTGAAGGTCAGACAGATTTCACTTGCATGGGAGAAATCTATCAAACTTATTAACTTAGCAATTCTTTGGAGCACCCTCCACTCCCTGCTGTGGAACCATCTGCATGGTCCAGAGCAAATGCGATCATTGCTATCTGTACTCTGGTACTAAAGCAGGAGTCTCAACCAGCTCAACTAGAAGCATGAGCCTCTGAAGATAAGATCAGTAATAAATTTATGCCCTCCATGAATCAAACTTGGGGACGGGATGGACAGAAAATAGGAAATACATACAACAAGCTAATCAGTTAAGTCACACAGGTATGTCTAAATTAGTCCTGCTTACTAAAGTCCAGACCTTCGGTAACGCTCAAAGCAGTCCTTCATCCTCCTCCGCTCCTTTTCTGCCAGTTCCTCATTGGCTAAGCCACACTCCTTGAACTGGGGGGTAAAAAAAAACAACAAAACAAACAAACTAAAAACCAAATACGAACTGGATTCCTCTGAAGATCAGACCAATGTTAGCACCAGGTAGTGCAAACCTGCTCTGCAAAGGTGGCCACTCTTGAGGCTGATGTTCTGCATCTGACCTCTGCAGGGTGAAAGGCTGCAGACCACCCAAATAAGCTTGGTCATTTCTCCTCTCAGACTTGTTTGTGCTATGAATCAGTTTACATTTAATTGAAGGAGAAAAAAAAAAATGGGAACCTATGCCTTCAGATGACCAAGAACAGCTGTTCACTACCAAAGCCCCCTCCGGGAAAGCAGTCCACTGCATACAGCCAGCTTCCTGCATCTGCTTGGGCCTGCAGAATGAAGTACAGAGCGTTCATTTCTGGGCTGTCCACTGCTGTGTGTGCAGGATGGTAATACATCTGTTTCACATAGTTTTACCATATCTATTCTCTTCCATTTGTAAATTTGGGATTCTGTTTCCTGTACCAACAATAATACTGCAGATGATTAAACTGGAAACCATTCACACCCAGAGATGAAGGCCAGAAGGTAATTAGAAGAAGTTTCTTGGGACAGATGGAGAAATAATCACCGTAAGCGTTCTGCTGTTCAGAGCTCACCCTTTTTGCAGGGTGAATTTTGCACAAAGTGCTCATATTTTGGAAAAGCAGTGGCTGCTTACATGCTTCTCAGACCTGGTAAATCCATCATTAACAAGAACATTAAAGATCACAAACCCCAGTCGCAGTAAAGAGGAGCCCACAAAGATTCTCTTACACTGGATGACTTTGGAGGCAGATTGCTCTCTAGAGTGCTAAATTGCTGGTTTTGTCCTTCAGGGCAATCTTCTAAGAGAAGGAAAAATCACAGCTTTAGTCATAGTTGCGATTGCGAAGTAACATCTCCTTCCACCAGTTCGTCAAACAGCAATAGCTTTAACGTAACAGCTGCCCAGCACTACACAGAATCAACAGCAGAACTGAAACCAAGCCTCAAAGCGTTCAGGATTCTGTCTTGTGATCAATGCACGTGTCACTTCTCATTTTACTGGAACCTTGAATCTTGCTTAGGATGATGGAGTTCCCCATCAGGCTCAGAAAGAGACAGCAACTTTCTAGTTTCTGCTTATGCAGGAGCAAAATGAATATTTGCAGAGTAGGACCTCTGCTTAGCATCATTAAAAAAAATAATGATTTCTCATGGTGACCTCTAACATGTTGATTATTATTTTAACCATAATTTGTTCCTGTTCCCCAACAACTAAGTTGTGCATATTAAGGCGCTTCACATCAGACCATATTTTAGTGAAGCTCCTTATGTAGTGATCAGGTATCGTGATAGATGTTTTTGAAATGAGCACGGTAGAATAATAAAAGGCTTTTTGGATCAGCGTTGTTTAGCTTTTGTGACAAATCTCCCATCTCAATGAATGAAAAGGTCATTTAGATCCTCCAGGAGATGAAAACAGAAAATTGCTTCTACTGTGCTAGTTTCCTTCCTTTCTCAGCAGGTTGTGGAAGAGAATTTCAAGTTCTTAGAGGAGCCTAGTAATTTCTTTCCACACTGCTGAATCATTTCCACTGGGGATGCCACAGAAACAGAACCAGTGACAGCGTTAACTACATGGTTCTGCTTTTGTGAAAATAGCCTGCAACACAAAAGGGAAGAGGGGAGGGAAAAATCCCTGGAGAAAGCCACATGGTCCAGCTGAAGTGGAAGAATGTTTGTTCTGTTCTCAGCTCTGCCACAAATGCAAGAGAAGTCGGGGAAAAAAGGCACCCAGGAGCTATTTCTCAAAGGCACCAGGTACCACGTGATTTTTCCTGGACAAATTCAGTAGACAGACTACATGGGAAAAAAAAAAAAAGACTCAAGGTCCTAGGATGGTCTAATGATAACACTGTTCCCAGGTCATTCAGCTACATGGAAGGCCCTTTCCAAGACCATGTATTAAAGAGAACCTGTGGAGCTTTTTCTCTCAAAAGAGCTTTACAAGCATTCACTGTTCCCAGCATCTGGGGACACGTTCTCTTCTTTATAGGTGAGAAGGATGGTGGTATGGCAGAACGCCTTGATTTATGGGTACCTATTCTGAGTCATCTCAAGGAGGTCTTACTCAGAGTGCCAAGCACACCCCACTGAGAAGCGTCCCTCATAAACTTAGTCCCCAGTCAGACTACCTGTTCTTCACCAAAAATAAAACCCAGCAATGTCTTTTCGCGTCCCTTTGAAACACTGAAGAATTCTACTCTACATTTTCCCAAGAAAAGCCTTACTTTTAGTCAGCTGTGTATCTTCATCTAGATGACCATGCAGAGTAAGCTATGGGACAAAAACAAACCAAGAACATGAGAACTGCCCCTTATTCTGTCTCACACAGCAGCTAGAAACAGATAGAGGAATATAAGAAACAGGACATGCATAGAACTGACCTTTCCCTAGTGCATCCTGCTGTCAGCAAAACAGGAGACTGAGCTGTTACAGATCTACTCATGGATTTATCCTCCATTAATAGATCCAGTTCCTTTGGCCTCATTTATATTTTTAGCCTCCAGACAATGTGACAATCACTTCCACACTGAAGTTATGAACCAAGTGAAAATCCTTTACTACAGATGCCCTGGGGGTAAGACTTATTTTTGCCTGTTCTCCCACAAGAGAGACAATTAGAAGCAACTCAAAATAAGTCAATTCCCCTGATTTGCTTAGACTCAATAAATGTTGCTGGCTAATGCCGTAACTGTGTCCTACGCTTCAAAAATCTCAGGACACAGGGAGATTCTGTCACTGGTCTGTTTTGCTGCCTCTGTACTTTTTGATATCACTGAAATGAGCCTGAGCCGTGGATTGAAAACTGCTGTTACTCAGGGAACTGAGCACAAGTGAGGAATCTGAAACCATTCCAGAAGAAATTAAAAGGTAAATGAGGCACCGTACTCACTTCCTGGGAATCTCTGGAGGAGGTATCATCCAGGTCAGAGGTCTAAAATAAAACCAGTATAAATTAATCATTCCTCATAAGCAAGGAAGTGGTAGTAAGGGAACATACAGGAGACTGAAAACTCCAGAAAATAGAGAAGTGTGGACTTCCTCCCTCCTACACTCCTGTCTGACCACTTGGAGAAAGTACACAAGATGCCACATTAATTAGAAGCCCTCATATATCTAATTT